TTTTTTTTAAAATAATATGATGGCTGAGAGATTTTTTTCTGGATTTAGACATATGACGGCACCTTCTTCGCTGACAAAATGCATGGCATCGGGCGCTTAGAGACTCCAGAGTTGACCTTCGTCGGAACGTTTTTCCTGGATAAACGAAGCGGTTTCGGAATAGTCCGCTTTTCGAACAACGTCTTGTTTCAGGTGATTTTGATTTTGTTTGATTTTGGACTGCACAAAAAGTAAAAGGTTGGCAAATACTGAAATTCTAAAAAGGATGCTGAATTTCGTTCTGGTTATCGCGGCCAAATATTCAGCGTAACAACAAAAGGTGGCGGATCACAGAGACCAACCGTTTGTCACGCTTCCACGCATCTGGTAAACAAATAAAAGTTGGCCGCGCGGCGCAGCTTAGCTGAAAAGATGATTCCAATGAAATCAGTCGCAAGTCAAAAGTCCAAACAGACCGTCATATCGGTATTCATCCATAATTCAAGGGGAACAGGGAATAAACCTATCATCGAAAATGATGCTTTTGATTTGCAGCCGAGAAGCTGACCCAACGGAAGTGGATAAATTGGCATTTGGAGGAAAAATCAGAGAGGAAAACGCTTATCGGCCGCGGAGTGTCCTTTGCTTCGAAAAGTCTCGGCTGGATGTAGAAGCTCATACTCAACATGGAAGCTCTTAAAATTCCAACGAAATAGATTAGTTTTATAAGAAGCAAGAAATGAATATATCAAAGTGATGTTGTTTACACAGACCGAATTGAATAGTTAAAAAAAACTAATAGCCACATCGGCTTGGAGCAAAGATATTTAATCTATGAGGATATATATTTCAATGATTAACAAATACATCGGAGTTGGCTTATTCAAACTGAAAGGTCGAAAATCGGCGGAGAAGAAATTAGGGAGCCCAAGAATCTTCTTGACGCAATAAAAGGCAATTAGCGCAACATTTTATTTGTGAGACAAGGTTTCGGCTATAAGTTTTTCTTTTTACGAGTGAAACACTCTCTTAACAGAGTTGGCAACATGAAAGCTGCACTAAATGTGTTCATTGGATGTAAGAATGTTGCGATCTTAATATATCACGAACATGGAAGTTTGAATTAGCTGGCCGAAACACCTAGGGTTGGGTATGACTTGTTGGTGACGGCTAATAAACCAGAAATGGCATTTCCAGTCTCCTTTTTCTTCCTCGGTAATATGCTAGACGTTGAGCGGCTGCTGATGGAGCTCGAGAGCGAGCCCAAAGGGGCAAAAGGCATTTGAAGAGAAGTAGTCGAAACTGTAATTTTTTTCTTATTTACATAATGCTTACATGAAAGGAAAGCGAACAGCTACGTATGAAACAATGAAATGCCCTTCAATTTTTCATTCTATTTCAGGCGCAATCGTACTTTTTTATCAATAGTAAGTTTTTAGAGCAAATACGATCTTTGCTAAAACCGTGAACTACGTGGATCTGATCATTGCAGAGGGTACGAAAAGCAACCATGGAGGGCGAGGTTACATGTTTTGAAGGCACAAAGGAAGTTTTTTTACTCCTTCGAATTGGCTCTGTCTAGTGAATGCCACACAGGCATAATTTTGAATTGCCAATACAAGTGAACATGCAAGTCACAGTGACTAATTGAGAAGATTTGATCGGTGAAACAAGACTTTTATTCACTTGACGTTTCGACCTCCATCGCGGATTCCTCATCAGAGACATGAACAGAAATAATAGCTGCCGGCTGCCTTCATGCACCACTTTGAGGTGGAGTTGCACACAGGCCGGAGGCAACCATATGACGTCGGATAATGCAATCGAAAGATGTACTGCCACGGCAAGAATCATCTGGAATCGTCTTTAGGATCTGGTGCAGTTGCAGACAAAGCAACTGCGTCGGAGAAACTGGCAGAGTTCTCTAGGCGCGAATTGCCGGACACGCGGCAGTAGTGCGGCGAAATGATGCCAATTATCAAGTTACGGCTCATTCGACGGGACCCGGCCACACATTCAAATTTGATGAGGCCTTAACTCTTGCAAGAGGTGATACTCGTATGAGCCGAGAATTACTTGAGTCATGGTTCACGGACCCCCAACGCCCAATTGCTGAAACTCAATTTGGCCAAAGCAAGTCGCAACTTGGGGAACGCACATGCAACCGCGTTGTCTTACGTCAAAAACGGAGAACCAGATGGCCGAGCATGACGTAATTTCAGCGGGTCACGACCCGCATGGCGACCATCAAGTTATCCACGCACAAGAGGGCAATTATCGTTAATTATCGTTATTTGCCATATGTGTGCAGTAATGATTGTATCCTATAAATACTGCAACTTCCTGTGCATGTACTACGCGTTTCTGCTACTATTTTCTGCTCATGTATCTGATGAAGAATCCGCGCGGAGGTCGAAACGTCAGGCGAATAAAAGTGTTGCCCAGCGATCGAATCCTCTTCTTCTTCTCAATTGACTCCGAATAATTTCCGTAGCAACCGTCATGGATCTGTCATAGATATGTCTAAGATATATTTACTAAGGATCATCCTATCATGTCTAACAGTCCGATATACTGCTGCAGCTGATTAACAACGGCATGTCACGCCTCTATTAGCCGTCGGCAGACCCGATACCAAATAGGAAGCCGATAAATAGGGGGCTACTAGAGAGAGAGCATTGCATTTCCTACAGGATGCTCCGATAATGGACCGGAGGGTGTTGGCAGCCTGGCAAGGGCGCACTTTCGTTACCACGACAAAGCAAGCCTCCGGAGCGAGAGTGGTGCAGTAATCCCAGCACCTTGAGTGCGATTATATCTGTCGTAGCCTTGAAGTGGTTTGGTTGGTTGGGAGTGACCAAAAAGCAGCCTGTCACAGGTACCACGAGAGACGCAGCGTTGCAACCAGAGTCCGTAGTAGGGCCATGGTCGGCAAGTACGCCAAAAGTAGTCACTTCAATCCCTATTCATTTATTGGTAGTACATTTCCCCAGTCGAAACTATTAACTGAGCGTGCTCTAACAGCAGGCTGTAGAAAGCTGATAACTCAGACGCAAATCACACAAACCTTATATTTTGGCCTTTGCAGTCAATGCGCAGTCAATGCAGCTCCGTGGAAGTCAGTAAGGTTAGGGGGACAAAGGTTGCTGAGCCCTTTTTATGTCACCAAGTCAGCATAAAGGGAATTGCAAGTTCAAAACAGTCCTAACATACCCTACTGAGTTCGACGCGTTGATGCTGGTCTCCCCACCGCAGTCAGCAACATTTTCATATAACGTGCTATTCGATTAAGGTTTATAATAAACAGGAAAACTTCTCCCCCGTTCCTTTCAGGGTTTCTACGCCGACGACGAACGCTGTGGCTTTGGCATTCAAATCTACACTGAGCAGTCACCAGAGTTCCTACTTGCCGACACCGGTCAATGGAGACATAATCGTCTAGTTAAGCTATCTGTCGAGCTACCCGAGGCTGTAAACCCCCTGACAGAATTCTCAGATTACATGTGGTATGCGGATTCATGGAAGCACACCCGAAAAGCGAGCTTAGTCGACGACTGTCTGCTCTCAGCTGCTGATGAAGAATTGTATGATTGCAAGGATGTGAATAGAATTCAGGTTCGTTATGTTACTTTCTCTTTCTCTCCCTAATTGTTTGA